TTCTATACTTTCAATTTATTCGCTTTATTCAATAATATTTTAATAAAATAAACTTTTACTCAAAAAATGCCTTATTGCAAGCATAATATAATAAAGATGTACAGTTTATTCGTATCGATGATCGAACTTGCAGGACTTGCAGTGAATCTACGAACTGTAATACGGGTAATGATTAATTGATTGCCGTAGAGGACGTCGTCTTTGTATACACAGTTTACGTGTTTTAAAACGAAAAACGTAAATTTCTTGCTAACTCAAATGTCAAAAGTTTTCATATTTTAGTATGTAACAACGAACACATAATGACATTAAAATATGATAAATTTAAATTTTATTGGACTGTTGTTACTGAAAAAAACATCAAATAGTGTGTATAGAAAGGAACCGTTCCTTTGCGCTCAAATTCTGAACGAAAAATCGGCTTTTTCTCCGGCCACAGTTGTCTTTGAAAAGTAAGACTATTACCGATGAATAGCGCTTAGGCTGTTTAGTTTACCCTGAAATTACCCAAAAAAGTGAACGGTCCCTTTAATAATGTGACTTTATAAATAAAATTTATAGTTATAAATTAATAAGAGATAATTCTCTGTTGAGAGCTAATTACAGAGCACTAATTATCATAATTAAGTAATTATCCTCTTTGCTGTTAATATGTATTATCTTAATGCAATACATGATATAAATACAGATATATATACTAATATTATTTTGACCCAGAGTCAAATATTTTGGCGGATTTCTTCTGTGTTTCATTGAGACGGCCAGGGGGGGGGGGGGGGGTCGCACCGGCCAATTTCCCTTGCCTGGATTCCTCAGAGAGTGGTCCGAATATTAATATTATAATAAAACCCATTCATCTCCAGTCTTTATAATGTATTCCATTAACCCTGCAAGCTCACGTTATAAAAAGATGAGAATACATTTACTGCTGAAAAAAATGAGGATTTCATCCTAGAGGCACAATAGGTTATTTTACAGAAGGGGCCGGTATGTATTCATAGTAATATTCAATATAGATAGTTTGGTCTATACATTGAAATATGTCTATATTTCTTGTTTTAAACATTGTTTAAAATTACAAAAAAATTTATCTCTCAAACTTCGAAAATTGAATTTGGATTTGTACCCATAAATGTTCACTGTGTTGCTTGAGTACAAGGATCCAGACTGCTATGAAAAGTTACATCAGTTTTTAAAACTCGGGCGACTTTGAAGTGTCGGAAGCCTTTAATTGTACCTCACCAACTCAATTATATTTTGTAGTTATTGGTTAAATTCTTAAAGATTTTTGCGAGAAAGCGTGCAAATGAATAAAAACGGGTCGTTAAAAAACGAATGAACGAACTACATGAAAAAATGCCGAACACGTCCAGATCTATCTATCTATCTATCTATCTGTCTATCTGTCTATCTATCTATCTATCTATCTATCTATCTATCTATCTATCTATCTATCTATCTATCTATCTATCTATCTATCTATGTATCCCCTCCTGTGGTAGGACGAGTAGGACAAGGCCTGATCTTGAAAATTGTATCACGAAATGTTTTGGTTCTTGTTTCTATTATTGGAAATGTGTTCTGGGAGGGGACAACTAAGGACGGATCAATTTACTCAGGACAAATCCTGGGGATGAGGAATAAGCATAGAAAATAGAAATATTCTATTCTCTATGGGAATAAGGGATAGGAAATGGTTTGTTTAAAGAAACCAGATATTATTCAAATTAAAAATTACTTCAGGTTTGCAGTTATAGGAATACTACAACACCAAAAAAAAATTTTTATTGCGTTATTGGGTTGCAACGATAACGAAAATATAAAATAAAACTTGCTATTTACATTATATGAATTATATTTGTAGTTCTCTCTCATTTATCTGGATAATGTGACTAGTTTTCAATAAAACAGTCAGATTAGATAATTCTTGTTTATATTTTAGATAAATGACCATCCAGACCCCCCCTCCTCCCTGAGTCTTTT